GTCGTAATAAAAATATAACTTGACATACGTATTTATAAATAATTTATATTCAAATTACATCATTTCTATGACCAAGGGCGGCGTAAGGCATGGACGACGTGGCCACCGCCTATGCCTCGCAGTCCGAAGGGCCTCGCGCCTCGAATGTTTATGCATTACTTAAAAGCCGTGAACGCGACGAAAAAATTTTATTCGTCATAAAACGATATATAATTCGTCAAAATTTTATTCATAAAAATGCAGTTTCAACTGCTTTTTATTTTATAAAATCCGTCTTCTTGCGCCACCAGAGGGCCTTTTAAACAAAAGGTAGTCTGTTAGCGCTGGTCAATAGTAGTCCAAATTCAATACGAACGTTTGTTTCTTGAAAATTTGATCACGATTTAAATACAGTATTTATTTTTAATAACACCGATATGTCATAGAAAAGTAAATGTGTTGTATTATCATTAAAAGAAAAATTGAAGTATTTGTTTCGATTATCCGGATTTTTCCTTATCTGGACTACCTTAATTCCCAATTAGTGCAGATAATCGAGGTTCTACTGTAGCTTTTTACTCATTTTTCAACGTTTTTTGACTGGACGAAAAAAACCTCAACAATATATATTGGCAATAGTAAAAGTTTATTATTAATCTGCTGTTCCTTGGTAGAGAGAATTTGTGAATATGATGGAACAAGGTTTAGAAAAGAGTCTTGGACTTGCTTGCTTATATTATGTAAACTGTCATATGTTATTGTGTAGCCATTTTGAACAACGGACTTCGTAGAGTCATGTCTACTAATCCAGATTTAACCCCAGTGACTTCTTAATATCAACAAAAACACAAATTCTCCAAAACGCAGATTACGTCACGTACCGTATGTTCGTGAAACACTTATAAAAAGATTTAAAATAGAACATTCTGTAGTGAAACGGCGTTGCAAACGAAGAAATAATAGTAATAAAGATAGTGTTAATGTTACAGCTAATGCCAAGTATTTCTTAACAATTCAGATAAGGAATGATTATAACCTCAAATGATCGATTTATTGCCAGTTGTAGATGGAGTAAGTCGTGCTAGAATTAGTCTGCTTATTCATTAGAAATTTTTTCAAATCAGCAAGTTCTCAGAAGTCAAACTGTTTGAAAATTCTGAAAGTGAGGAAGAATTTTCCCAGAAACGATGTTTCTAAAATTTGGAAGGATAAAACAACCTAACGGACTGTAAGTTTTGGAAGCTTTGATGTGTTGACAATTGAATAATAGTTGCTCTTAAACACGAAAAATATGACTTTTTGG